GCGGATCCCTTTCTCAGCGAGGTCATCAGCAAAGAAGAAACATGGAGCTCGGAGGCTCGGTCCTCGGTTCCTCTTGGTGCTTTAGATGCAGGAACGACCTCTTTTTCAGTCTCTGGAGAACGATTTTCACACCCATTGACCTGGCTCCACCATCACCTGTTCTCCATCGACTGGAAGGAACCTGTGTTGGGTTTGAAGTTTTCTTGCCCAGCAGACTCTGGAAAGTAAACCTGGCATACTTTTCATTTGTTGGTCAAAAGTGCGAGGGGCAGGATCCACAAAAATACGCGTTTGCTCAAGTTGTTGTAATTGTTTGTCACATTGTGCTGTTTTGTTATTGTTGTGTTGTTGTTTTCTCGTTCTTTTTTGTGCTTTTTGTGCCTGTTTCAGCATCATGTTTGACTAACGGCAGCTAGCGACAAAATGAAATTGACATTATTTATTGATAAAACCACAAACAAGATGACTTCCCCCAACGAATGACAAAGAGCATCCCGAACATGACAAAGCCACATGACAAAATTAAAACATGCCCCAAAACATTGACTTTGTGACATCCCTCAGAACCTGCTACAAAGAAACTCACTGACTGTCATACAGTAAGTTTTGGGAGGCATACCAGCGTCCGAAAGAAATACGTATGTTGCCCCCACGAGGACAGGGGGTTGACCAGAAACCATGAGGTAAGTCACAAGTAATTCAATCAATATCAAGCAGTTGAAGCATCCTGGACAACTCTTAAAAAGGAGTTGCATCCTGTATATTTGTGAACTTGCAGCTGAGGAAGTGACCGAGTGACCCATGTATGCAAGTGTAAGCAGTGGGTGAGTGACACACCGGGAAGGTAAATACGTTAAACAATAAGAACACTGAGATGATGCTCAAAACTCTGGACATGTGGAAATCACCACCAGGGCACCACAACAGGAGGATGAGGATGTTTTGTAATTTTTTGACCATGAAGGCACCGCAGTATTAAAGTATGGTACGTAGGTCTTCGATGGGGGCTTAATTGAATGCTAAAGGCTATGTACAGTACTAAAGGACTTTCTTCTCATCCTGGCTTCGGCACCTTAAAAGAATCAAGTTCTGAAAACGGCAGCCTCCCCCCAGTTGAAAGCCTATCCAACAGAAAAACATCATCTTCTTGCAATCTTTCATCTGCCATACAGTTTTGGTTTCTTTTGGTTGTTATTTTGTTTTCACCCAAAGCCTACCAGGACCCCCATGTCCACCGGATTTAGGATGTCGAGTCGCTGAGGTCTGCAAATAGACTTTGCTACGTCCATTGAGGTCCAACTGCACCTTCACCACTTTCCAGATGTGGAGCAGCAAAGGGAACAACACATACAAAAGGCCGATGACCTGGCAGTCTTCAGAAAGAAAGCGGAAAGAAGGTGGGCATCCTAGTGGATTTTGTCTCCCACACATGTTCCACTGTTTCTTCTTGGCCCAGCCGGCAAGCACCAAAAATTGCTGTTATATATATATATAGGGCGAGAGAGAGCTCCTAACTGTCCTAACTCACCGTCAGTGCTTTCCTCCAGTTGGACGCAAACCAATGGGTTGGGAGATTGCCTGCGCGCAACCACCCCCGCCGAGCCCACGGAGCCTGCGCCGTCTTCGCGGGGTCGTCCGGGATGAGGAGTTCCGAGGCACTGCTCTCATCGTGACCAAAGACCACGTTGACCATGTAAACGGAGGCTTTAAGGGTGAACCAAACATATGCATTTTTCAGCGAATCAAACATGACAGTGATGACAAACCTCCACGTGTTTCCGGGTTGCTCCAGGATATGCTTCACAAATTCAATGAAGAGCCCAGTTTGAGGGACCTCTTCCTCAACATCGCGAGCAATGCCTTCTGCGTAGTAGCTCGAAGGAAAGGAGTCTTGATCAATGACCTTGACTCGACATATCTTCAAGTACCTGCCCAGCTGGCAGCCCATAGGGCTTTCCAAAACCACCTTAAACTCCAAGGTGGCGCTCCACAAGGGCGACTCCAAGATGGGAATCTCGATTCTTTGCTCGTAGACTCCACTGGGAAACACCAAGACACCCTCCACGTGCTCGTAGCGGACGCCGGCCTTACCTCAGCGTGATTTGGAGGCGAAGGCAGGAGAGAGAAACATTTAGTGATCATAGTCATAGTTGTGTCCAGTTTGGCAAACAAATCAAACAAGCATCACAGGTCAAGTCTACTCTTTTTGGTTACAAACTAGGCAAATCCCAACAACTAGACTTCACAAACCATGCTAGACCTCCAGGTGTTTCGCGTACAAATTGCTCGCCGCACCCCCAAAAAACAGCTTGTACTTGTTTCGATCCTTTTTCGTAGAGGTGCCTGACCCTTCTTCCGTGCGATATTGACACCTCACCTCTCCTTCCAGCTTTCCCAAGCGCATGACGCTCACCGAGAAGGCTTCACCTTCCGCCTTGGATGGACCATTTGCTTGGAGCACGGTCCAAACCGCACAGGTTTCCATGGGACATCCCACAGGTCACCGAGACCGGTCGGGCCAGCAGTTTTCTCAGACTGGTGTCGGATGCTGGTTGGGTCCTTTGCCCTCCATCCTGGCGGGCTACATGTTAGCAATTAAGGGGGAAGCGTTTGCAACATAACGTCAGTAGTGGGAAGCACTGACCAAATGACCAATGGCTGTGACTCTAGACTCCAACCTCTCAACCCACAAGGGCAAAAGTAGATGGGGCCAAAGTACTTGTACCAGTGAAAACCGCTACGGTACATCGGAAACAAAGCAGCACCATGCATGTTCACCTGGCACCCTCCCATGTTTCACACCTCATCACTATCATCATCCCCAGGCCACCGCCACGAAAATCGCTGAGGCAAACTGGACAATGTCTAGCTTGTCGTGGTTGGGCGGCGGTGGCCCCAATGAGAAGCTTTCATCATTCAACGGCCTCGCTGAACGCGTCACCAGCACAGTTCAAGGTTTTTAGCACGGACCCGGGCAAGATTGGAGCTCTAAAGAATGTGACCAGCTGGATGAGTCTTGGTCAATCGGAAAATGCCATATATAATAACTTAATCTAATTCAACAATACCATATGTTCCAATTACAATGCATGCCATATTTGTGTATTCCTCTAGTGCAAACTAGATCCACATCACCAAAGAATCACTTTCACTGAAGAAATATGTCTCCAACCTTGACCGGTCAAGGAATTAATCTTCAGTTTTAGCTCAAAAACGGACAGCTGGCAAGATTTGTGTGTGTATGCCAGCAAAAAAGATGTACTATGATGTACTAATCCATCCAGTCGGGCTTTGCAACATCTGCATTTCATGGTCCAGCTTGGCTGTGGAGAGAGGAGTCCCCTCTACTTTCTCAATTCTACACCGGTAAATCTATTGCGCTCAGAGTAGTTATGGCAGCGATCCAACACAAATGATGTGCGCCTTTTGTCCAATCCGGCAGCACTTGTGAAAATCAAAGCTTCCACTTCATGGTCAGAGTAACAAGATCAGCAAATACACTCTTGCTCTACAACTCCGCCACAACTGAATAGAATTAGAACGGGGAACCCTTAGAGAATGACATATATATAATTCATATTGTAGTTTTGGTTGAGGAGCCCGAGTGTGCAAGGGTGCTGTCCATCAAATATCCTGCTGTGAGCACAAAAGCTGCCGAGAGACGAATATAAGTAGCCTGAATTTGGCAGCAACGAGGCAAGGACACACTGTCACACAGGTCTGGTAGCTCCCAAACAGTTTGAAGTGGTGAAGCTGAAGCCTGAAGCTCCATCGAAACTTATTGTAAATCACATTAATTATATAGTCTTCCTCATATATGTGCAAAGCCTTCCTGAAAGAACTCCAATGCGAACATGGTCATACTGAGGCTGATTTTGTGGAGACCACTCTCTTTCACCCCGCTGGGAAGAGGCAAAGAAGGCTGGAATTCGATCCTCTGCGCTGACTGAACGCTTCTCAGCATGACTTAGACTTGGGCTGATTGAACTCTGGCCGAAGGAAACCCCGAATTCCAAACATGTCTGACTTCTTCCCATCTTCTTCAAACCATCTGTTGACAACCAAATTGCACAAGTTTATACAGTTATACTATATATATATATATCATGTATATATCATGTGTATATATATATTATAAGTTACAGTTTGAGCTTGAATCTGTGCAAATTGTTGTTCATCCCAAACATTGCCACAACACCCGCAATCCAATTTCCGGTACCTGCTGTTTGCTGCACCCAAGCAGTTTTCAAAAAAACACCCAAAGCAATTACCTGCCCAATCCATTAAACGTTGGAAGGTGTGTTTGGATGCAGTAGAGTCAAGACACCCTGCAGCCGGGATGGTAAACTCCAAGCCAGCTTGCAAGAAGTGCTCATGTTCCCACAAAAGCTTGCAAAAATGCACCATTCCGCGTCTCGGGGCTTGCTTTTCTTTCATGTCACGTCTAGGAGTCTTAGGACTTTGGACCCGTGTGGTTCTGACCCACCATTGCCCTGTCAGGTTCTGACAGTCCCCAGTCCAACTCCATCCAGGTGGCCATTCTTCAGTGGATCGACCCTCACCTCTCGGCTTCGCGTCGACGCCGCTTTCCCGCCGCAAAGCCCCATGGCGCTCGGCCCGCTCGGCCCGCTCGGCCCGCGCCGTCTTGGCGCTGGGCTCGCGCCGTCTGGAGCCCAAGATGAATGAAGACGTCCTGTAGCGGGAACCTCCGTATCAATGGAATGAATGATGGAATGCAGCTAGAGCGATGCCCAAACCGAGACCGCGATATCTGGAGAGATACCTCAGAAGTCCAGTCCTAGCCACCTCCTTATGTGTTGAGCTACAAGTCACTACCTGGTGGGTGGAGGGTTGTTGGAATTATTCTCGCTGATGATAGATGCATGGAATCATGGCATGGAAAGGTTTCATGGATCATAAGTTTAACAGAAATCCCGCATCAACACATGCTTAAATATGCTGTGAACATGCATTCCCGTTCACCTTCGCCCGGCGCTGGCCTCGTCGAGGACCGGCTGCTGGAGGTTTGGGTGCCGCGAGGCGTGCACGGCGCGGTCGCTGCGCCAGGGCTTGGTGCCGCAACTGGGCGAGCTGAAAGGGAGTGGAATATCATTCCTGGTATTAAAAAAATAATCCCTTATAGTAAATCCCAACATCCAGAATTTAAGTTCTTGTGTTAATTTATATGATAAATGTTGTGTCATTTTCTAACACGGATAGATACGCCAGGATTTTCCGTCTGACATGCTCTCATACACATCAAACATGTCCGCGACTATGCGCAAGTACTACCAGGGGCCCGCAGGTTTCCGGGTAGACCCCCTCAGAGTGGGGTATGACAGGAACATGCTACAAGAAGGACATGTCCTCTGAATTCCTATGAACTGTGTGTCATACCTTGGGGTAATCATAAAAGGGCCTGAAGCTTCAAAAACATGAGCGAAAGGGGCTATGTCGGTGTTGAGGTTTTTGTCGAGTCCCGTCGTGTCCTCTGGGATGTCTCTAAGACGCTCCGACGGTCCGTCTCTTCAGCACCTCCATGCGAAGTGCCGGATCCCACTCCGGGGGCACAGCTCGACTAACAGGTCGGCCAGCTCTAGCTTTGGCCATGGCCTCGCACTGCGAAGGGATGCCAAATCGTGCGGTTGCAATAGTGTTGCTTCGTTTTGGTTCCCTAAGCGCCCTAAGCCCTTGGGTGCTTGGGATATTGAATGATACAATTTAATTGTGTGATTGACTCGTGCTACCAATCCGGATGTATGGCTGATTTCTTGTGCCCTCATCTTGATCCCACCCATGCAGCCCACCCCACCCGGAGCTTCATCCTCGCGGCCTTAGCTTCACAGGCTTCGCGCCGCCGGTCCGCCAGCAAGCGCAGGGCCACGTCCACGTCGGCCGCCAGGGAGGAGGGCGGCTGTGAGTCAAGGTCCGCACGGACATCCTGGGAGAGATGGGAGTTTCTCCCAGAATGGGCACCCAAATTTCACATGGGCCATTAAGTAGGTGTGTGCGTTCAGTGGGTCTGGTTCATGTTGAAATTGAAGGCCTACAAACTGAATGTTGGGCAGCCGAATATGGCATGAAAACGATAAACTTAATAGAACTGCCTGTTCAGGGCATGGGGTTGGCATGGGGCATGACGCAAAAAAAGGCTGGAATGACACAATGACGCTAAACAACGCTGGCACTTCCATCCACATGGACTTAAGCCAGTTCCACTTGCCCCAAACAGTTGTCTCATGCCATTGTTTGACATGCTTGGAAACGCACAGACTCTTTGCCCCGTTGTGTTCAGCAAAGGAACTCTGAGGCGACCCTCCACCGTCCGGCAGGCACGCCACGTGGCCTCGCGCTTCGCCACGTCTCCCTTGGCGAGGTGCCACAGATTTGAAGCAAGGAAAAGGTGATGAAGGGGAAGGTCTGGGGACTAGGGTTTGACAACCCTTTTTCGGTTTCCTGGGCTCTGGTGGGGAAGAAAGGGCTTGTACAGGTGTTGGCATTAACATTCAATACCGAGTGCAGTACCTAGTTTAAAACCCCCAAAGAAGTCACCGCCACGGGCACCCCTTCTCACAGTGTCCCTTTGGTTTTTACACTTTACCGCCCTTTAACTTCAATAAGGTCATTTCTTGGGAGTCGCTTCTTTTGGTTCCACTTGGAATCAACACCCACGTATCGAATCACCACCAGTCGTGCAGCGCTGAGAGGGACGGAGCGCTGCCACAGGGCGTACGTACTTTTCACCAAGGCGTCGCCAAACAGCAGTGACATCGAAGAATACTGAAGAATCTTACAGGAATATATGATGTTAAAGGGTTTTGTCAACGGCGAAGGAAGACCCCAAGCGGCCCTGTTGGCGATGTTTTGCTTTTGAAGCTCTTCTCAGGTTCCCATCTTTTTGGGGATCACCCAATTTGGGGGGAGCCCCAAAGAAACTCGAGCGAATTTCTATATTATATAAACCGGGGGATGGGTGATGAGGGTAATGGATGGAAGGGGATATGCCGATGCTCTTTTGCTTCACACTAAGTATAAGGACATTTAATGGACTAGGTCCTACAGGGGATTGCCTGTAGGCACTCAATTCTGCCGAAGGACCATATCTTCAAGCGGGGCTTTGGGATTCCACCCCAATTTTGGGATCGATATCATTGCATGTGTCTTCAAGAGTGGGACAACTGTGACACCTGGGTCTTGCACCAATATATCTACCCTGCTAAAGCATGTCTCGGTGAGGTTTAGGGATGGAGCAAAGCACAAACGTAGCACAAATGTCACATGCAGCATGACCCAGGTATGGCCCATATGGTTCTTAGCCCAATACTCGTGGCAACAACAAGTTGGCTTTTCTAGGATCACAACATGCACTACACAAAAGTACGCACCTGCGGCAGCTCCCAGGAACTACGAATGACAACACCCAAAATTACCATTAACAGTATAATATAACACAATACTTAATGACTTAATAAGATTGATTGATCTCATTTAGTTTCACGTTTCACTGGCAACTCGGCATTTGTTTCACAGATCTGGTCATCAACCGGTCCGAACCGATGGTCTTGCACCCCGATGGCCGTGTCTCCCGCCTCAGGCTGCAAGTCTTTCGGCGGCAAACGTGTCGTGTCACGGCTGGGACGAACTGCCGTCCAAATGGAGGGCCGAACGTGAGTTTCTTGGGCCTCCTCCTGCGGTGCGTTTGGAGCGAAGTCTGGTCTGGCAAGGTCTGGCAGCGTCTGGGTGTGTAGTCAGTGTAGTCATTGGACTCATACTGACCGGGTGGTTCATGGAGGGAGTCTTGGCTTGGAGCTGCAGGCATGGGCAGGACAGGAGGTTGGAAGTTATGAAGGCTCAGATGCCAAACAACTCTAGGATCTGACATCGGAGGAACTCTTCTGGATCAATCCGCTCCAAGTCCACTGGGTCCTTCCAGAAACAACTCCAAGCATCACAGGCTCCAACACCCATCCTCGACCGTCCAAGGAAAGGGGGCTGCCATGTACACCAACAAACGAGGTGCCATGGACACGGAATCCGTGCACTGACCCAAAGAAAAAGACTTGTGACCTCCAGTCGTTGGAAGATTGTTCGACCTGACAACGATTTGAATAGCCAAAATTAATGGAACAATCGTGCCTTCCAGTGGCATCCGCGCGTCTCAATTCGGGGCAAATTAGAGTTTCTGACACAGCCTTGTCATCGTTTTTCATCGTCTATATACAAACTTTTTCTTGAGCTCTCGTCGCAGTCTCCCCGCAGGCGCGGGATCAGAGTTCCTCATGCCGCAACCATGCTGCCAGCAAGGAGCGCGCCTCGTCTTGCACATCCATGGTGGCCTCAGCTTGACATCAGCCTCCGCCTTGGACCTCAACTTGGAACTTGACGCTAGATTGCTATAATCAAAACATGTATATATTATACAGTGTATTTCGATGTGTGCCTTTTCTAGATTGTATATGAATGTATGTTAATGCTGTTGATGGCCCTAATGGCATCTTACAAAACTCGTTTATGGCCACCTATGTCGGTGAAATCATCCGTGCAGTGAGCTTTTTCCATGGTGACTTTGAGGATGCTCGAGGGGCTTCACCGACCTATATACTTCACCATCTTCAGGCCCCCCAGTGCCCCCACCACTGTCTCCCTCAACCTAGGCTCCAAGGTGAAATCTGCTGGCGATTTGCATGTTTTTCTTCCTGTAGATTTCCCTGTCAAACGATTTCATGATACTTGGAGTTCATTCGGCGAGGGCATTTTGAACAACCTTAAGCAGGGAGCCTTGCTGAGCCTTGCTGCACCCCTCAACCTGCATCCCATCATGCCAATGAGCAGCAAAATCCACCAACAGCGGTGTCCGACCAGCAAAACAAAAGGTTTAGTGGTGCCTGCCTTCCAATTGGCTGCAGCAAAACAAGGTTGGTCAAGCTCTATATATACATTTAGTACTCATTTGACCTCTGCTTTTGATAGGGATAAACTATGTATTGGCTCCGAAGCAGGGGTCAACCAGGTTCTAGGTACATTTATCTACATCGAGGCTTTTGAAGGCCTTGGTCATTCAGGTGACTGAGATCTCTGCTCATTGCATTGATGGAACCCCCTCTGTTTGTAAAGAGGTGTCTTTCAAGGAGCCATGTCAGCCACGTCCATTTTTGTCTGGAAATAATAGTAGTTAAAATGCAACCGGTATGTTGGTAATAATTGGCAAAAAGCCAATTGACCAGCAGCAAATGACATATATATATATATGAGACAATTGCCCTCTACAAAACCAGTTTCCTTCGCACCAATGGCCAGCTGCCAGCTGCCATTTCATGTAAAAAAGTGGGAGGATACACATTGGAGGATATTTCGGGATTGTTTCAACGAATGTCCTCCACTTAAGGATCGGTTCATTGACAGTTCTTCATGTTGAGCCCACTCTGCCACGCCACTCAATCTTCCCTGTAGCGCATGTCGCTCGGTCGCTCAGCCGCTGAGCTCTCTCTGATCATAGAAGTCAATCAAAGCTTGCATTATGCATATGTTGGCATATATGTATATATATAGTTATATATATATTTGTGTCATATGGTTTCATGATGTTTCATGGAAGTCGTGACTGACAAATGCTTTCATTGAAAATCCCTACTTATATATCTACTTTGTCAGGTCCCAAACTTTACATGCATCTTGGGTAGGGCCTTGTCTCTGCAACCCGAGCGTGTCTCAACCCAGCGCAGGAAGTGAAACTCAAGGTGGGCAAGCGCGGAGCGGGCAGGCGAGTCTGGATGCACATCTTCTGCCAAAAGACATCATCTTGCTCTTGTTGTTCTTTCGTTTTCCGACGTGCCGTGATCAACTCGACTTTGTGAGGATTGGGTCTTCCACAATGCCATGCTCTCTCCAGGATCTCGCAACAAGAATTGAAATGCATGAAGCTATCAAAGGCTACACTGCGAAGGAGCAAAACCTCTAGGAAACTGACATATTTATGCCCATATGTCACTCCAAGCAATTTAAACAAACAAGTAAAACATACTCAATACTGATTCGGAATGAACCCGCACCACAAGGATCCTAAGGATTTAGGGGACAACTTCCCAGAGCCCAACTATTCCCCCCACAGGTGCCCTCAGGCCTTGTGCCACGCCTCCACCGATGACAGCACCATAGCTGGTGCAAAAGCAAATGCCAAAGAAGGCAATGGCCGATGATCGATTCGACCTGACTCGATCGGTCGTGGCACTTTGCAACCGGAGGCAAGCAAGGCAGGCAAGTCCTGGAAGTGTTCAATATTCATATGAGCATCCCTAGAGCTACTGGTAAACAAAAAGGATGGGAACAACGGAGTTCTCGCTTTTGGGAGACCCGATTGAAGGAGGGCATTCTTTGCATTTCCAAAATGCTGCAGCCAAGTTCCAATATCTCATGCTGCTCTGGCTGCTCTTAACTAAATTGGTCACCAGGTTATGAGCGGATGCTTTATTAAGGTATGACCAGCCTGATGCCGATAGTCCGATAGTCCATGGACAGGTTCCAAGATATGACCATGAACGTGCTTGACTGATTTTGACTACAAAACTCCCTCATTCCTTCATTGAAAGGGCTCTGCATGGGAGATAAACGCCCCAAAAATCTGATTCACACAGTGACACCGACAATGTTTTGGAGCAGAGTTTGACCAAGACCGCTGGTCTTCAAGTGCCATCATCTTGTTCTACCTGCACTTGCTCAAGCACTTTCATCCTCCTGTCTTAATGACTATGCTTCCCCCATTGCGTCCACCTTTCAAAGTCTTTGCATATGCAGTCCTTACTTCTTTCCAAGGCTGTGTGGGAAATTTCCGGATGGACAATGATGGAGCGCTGGGCAAAGACCTACCTACCATATGCAACAACAGGATTCCAAGAGATATCAGCACAGCGCATTCTCGTTTGGACGCCCATGCCCTTTGCCTTGAATGCCCTTCACTTCGGTTGTAATTGCTGCTCAGTGACTCTGGGGGCATGTTGGCCTCGGCACTGGGAAGCATCAGAAACTTGAGCAGCTCCCACACAAACCCATGTCACCTTTGCAAGGCTTCCCTGACAGTGAATATGGCAAAAGCAAAGTCACAAATGTTTGGAGTGCCTGCCGGTCCTAGAAAAAGTGGAACCCTTACCTTTGCCATTGGAAGTCTCTTCTCTTTCTGTTCATTCAGCGAAGAGTATATAGAGGAAAGAATCCGACTGTGCATGTGTTTGAAGTGCTCGGTGCCCCATCTTCCTCCTGTAACCACTGGAGAATGACACATTAAGAAACTTATATATTATAGTGAGTACAGAAACATAATGAAACATACTACAGTATGTCCATTCATGTTCCCTCAGAACCCCTCAGGACCCTCACCGAAAGCTTCCTCGGGGTTCCTTGGGACCACAGCTCCACCTCGCAACAAACACTGATCGTCCTGCCGTGTTCCAACGACTTGCGGAACATGTGCATGCAAGTGACAATAGCCTCTCGAATCAGAGTCTCATCCTGCAAGGGGACATGATGCTGCCCGCTGCCCTACATCCGTTTTCAGCAAGTGAAACTGTTCGTGTTGACTGGGTGAACTCGAAAGGATTTATATTATACTGTATATATTTTAGTTTTTAAAGCCGCGCCCGCCCTGACTTAATAAGTAAACACATACTGAATTAAGTAGTCATGGTTTTCGAAAGCTGGAGACCATAGCGATGAAACTGGGGTTGGATGTTCCACAATGCGGTAAACAACACAACGTTGCTCCACGTCTGGGGTGCTCCAAGTGAATCCGAGTCACAACATTTCCTTCACCAGTCCTCTCTTGAATTTTGCGAAGGACTCAAACTCGTCCCCGGGTAGATTCCTTTGCTAGTAATTACAATTCTAATTTAATTCTTGTTACTACTAGTAAGGCACTTGTTACTAGTAGCGATGCACTTGTTCCTAGTAGCTTCTCTAAGAAGTGAACCCATGTAGATCCAAATGTGCGTCCTCTTCTTTGCCGGCGCAAATGTGCGTCCGTGGGCCAGCACTGCGACAGCTTAAAAGTCTAAGAGAGCAGCCATGTGTTGTCTGTTCTGCTGGTCCGTGTTGTCAGTTCGTCGGCCCGAAAAGTTGTTTCCAAGCATGTCGACATGTGTAAAGTGCCATTGTTCTCTAGGGGCCCGACCCGTCTTTCTCCTATAGGATAACCGTCCTTTGTAAAAACATCTTATGTCCACTCATACCACTCGTACGGCCATGCACGTTCCCGAGCGAAGCAGCTCCTTGTTCATGGGCTGGTGGGGATTGCCACAACGCGCATTGCGAGAGGACACGATCGACTGGCCCAGCAGGTGCTCACCCTGAAAGCACAGGGGCACAGCAAGCAAATCTTAATCAAACTTAGAATTGTTTCCGGTGCTTAGTTCCAAGACTGGCGAATCCTTAGTTTTCCGTAAGTTACTAAACTGGAAACTGAGCCGTGCTTAATCAAACTTAGTTTCCGGTGCTCAGTTTCCGAATTCCTTGGAAACTAAGGACTGGCGAATCCAGAAACTGAGCCGTCTCTGGCATTGACGCATGCTGTCATATCCCCACCTCTTTAGCTAACTAGTGCGTGAATAGTGGATCACAACTACTCCAAAGGGTCAAAGGCCAACCACTGACTGAGTAGTTCACACGAAGTATGTTAACTCCAGCTGTCAATTTTGAACAATAGGTCCTCTACACAGCTCAAAAGCATTCCATAGGTGTCACAACCATGAGGTATGTATATATATATATATAGAGAGAGAGAGAGAGAATGTGTGTGTGCTTCTCCCGTTTCATCTTTAAAACACTTGCCCATCTCAGTTGACTACTGGGAGCCTACGTTATAATTGCCATGCAACTCTCAAACTACCCAAGATATGTTACAACTTATAGTCCATGGGCAAACTGTTAACATCCCAAACAAGCTGCAGTGATCCAGTCTTGGGCATTCTTGACATGCATGGCGATTGACTGCTCACTCAACCATCATGGCTTGATCACTAGCATCAATCTGAGGCATCGTCCAGCATTAGCAAAGTCAATGCAGGTTCATTGAAGGGAGAATCACTGACGACACAGGTCACAGGTCCACAAAGGCACCTTGACTGAATGTTGTTTCATCCTGGATGGTTTACAATTTGCTACTAGAACCTTTGAGCAGTGAGCAAGGTTATTTGTTTCCCACCTTTCGTAGCTAGTGCCTGCAGAGAAACTTGCTTCGCTGACTGAACCCAGCGGCAGGGCTTGGCGACAGCAAACAACGTACAATGAACCAAGGCTTACCCAAGGCTTCTAGAACCATGTAACAATGGTATTGTTCATATAAGGTTTGAGCTGGTCTGAGTACACTTCATGGCGTGAGTGACCCAAGGCTTAACCAATGGCTTCTTACCCAAGGTTATCTATATAACAATGGTTCATGTGTTTTAATAACCTTTGAGGAACCATTGCTTCGTTGCTGGAGTGACAATTGGACTGAGCTTCAGAAAAGGCCAAGGAGCTGAGCTCCGATGTGGGAGAATCATGATGGGCAGTCCAGCATCCGCCGCCACCTGACTGCTTCAGGCGTGCGCTTGGTGATAATGGAGCTAGAGCTCCCCTCGCTTTCACCAGGTGAACTACTTGTCTCCACTCACTTGCCCTATATTCAAACACTTGGGAGAGCGTTGTTGCATTCAGAAACACACCCATACCAAAGCGCAGTGAAAGAGCACTGATACATCTGAAGTAGTATGGCCCTGCTTCATTTACTGTAGGCCATACTACTGATGCACGTTCACCTATCACCTGCGGGATCCTGGAAGCAGCCGTGCTGGTCGAGGGACAAATCTGGGACCTCCACCATGCTTGAACGATCACGTGCCATGTAAGCAAACCATTTGGGATTGAAAAGGTCGCAATGTCACTGCAACCCCAAAGCACGCCAACCAACCTTGGAGGTGATTGAGAAACCTGGACCAAGCTTCTTCATACAAAACATCCTGCGAACTCTCCACTAGAGCGGAGAAATAGTGGAAAGCTCAGCCATCCCAGCTAGCATAGATGGCCTGCCTTGATCTCCCAAATGCACCAAAGCCGGCTGTACAAGCCCTGGCCATTGGATCTCAGCTCTTCATTCGGCACCTCATTCCCGCCGGAGCGGAACATCTCCAGCGTTATGAAGGGCTTCCTGACCACCCCAATGGACTGCACTTCTGACCATGAACAGTCTACACGGGGATGTTCACGTAGCTCTGTGACACACGGAATCGGTGACCAAAAACCAGGGACACTAAAGAAGGTCGCCGAACCTCAAAGCTTCAAACAACCACATGTTCAAGTCCATCGTTGAGCAAGCCTAGCTGGGGCCTAGCAATCCTTTCGTTACCACTGGTCACTGGTCATGCAACATAGCCAGCTGAGCCAAACATGTTCTGACATGATAAAATCTCCATTTTGATTGTAAAGCCTATTCATATGGGAGGTTATTTTATGAATCAAGATTCTAGGGTGAGCATTTCTCACAGGTCCATGAGTCATGGATCAAATCGCTGAGTTGGACCACTGAAACATGTTGGGGCGACCCTCGATCGCCGATGATCGCAGAATGAGACGATCCGAGGCTGAGTCGACTCAAACTTTTTGCTGCTGGGTCTCCATACGACTCAAACGATCCCCCCTACTCATTGTATACACTCCGAGTCCACATGGAAGTGGATACCCTTGTTCCCTGCATGGATTGGAAGAGTGCCTATGAGTACTAAGGAACCACCCGAGACTCGTGTCGACCGTTCCAGCTGGAACCACTCCGGCAAAAAAGTCACGTGGATCGCCCGATGTGTCCAACTTCGCCCAAGGTGCCACCAGCAAGCGCTGACATGCCGCGCTATTGATGACTTGCGTGAAGGGGCTGCGCCTCGTGGCGCAGTTTGTCCGAGGCGGGAGGAAAATGCAGAACACTCAGGCATGACAAAAGCGTGTTCCAAGGTATGTACCGTTTTTGGTGGAATACCTGACAGTAGAAACAGGGGCACATAGAGCCATCCAAATTTGGAAAGGTGGCAAAACAAATCGTCAAGAACAATGGTCTCTCACTCTGTCGTTGACTTTTCAGGTGCGCAACATAGTAACAATCCAATCCGATTATTTAGCTAGCAAATCCGGATTGTACGATTTCACCATCTTTCACCGAGCTCGGCCTCCAAGTTGATGGTATGATGGTAAAATACTTGCTGGATTCAACATGTCGTTCATTTCACCCGGCACAGGCGTCTTCGCGGATAGTCCGAGGCTTGTTGGAACCTAGGAGGTCAAACCATTAATTGGTGATCTGCTGATCTGCTTGAGGGTGCTGGTAAACATAAATCTCTTCATCTCTCTCTCTCTCTCTTTATTGGCCTCAAATGGAACAATCGGCCGGCTATTCTAATTTAGTCTACTTGGTGCCAAACCGATCACGGGTCACTCCTGGAAGTTCCAGGTAAACTGTCCAACATATTCATCCTTGTCTTCATAGGGCACTTGAGAGGAGGGAGACACGAAAGGTAGGACAGCGGGAAGAGAAGAGAACGCGAGAGGCAGGAACAAAAATGCAATGTTCGACATGGTGATTTATCCCCTCGGAGGCGACCTTTCGTAAATATAACTTCATATAACTTCATATGCACTCTAAATGTTCAAACATATGCTCTCGAAATGTTCAACAACATTCTTAGTAAAACAAACTTGCCCCATGGCTCAAATCATCGTTGAGCATTGAATCGGAGCATCATAGGATTTGAACTATCCTGAAACCATAAGAGGCTCACGAAGACGTTCAGGAGAGAATTGACGTGCTTCACAAAACAAACTCGAGGTATGTACCCCCTCGGGGAACACCTTTCGTGATTAGAATTTCATATGCACTCTTTCTGAATGTTCAAGAGGGTTTCAACTATCCTGAAATCATGAGAGGCTCACGAAGACGTTCTCCAGGAGAGAATTGAATTTAGAG